AAATTGAAAACACTTAAAAAGTTCGAAAATTTTCTTATCTTTTACGTATTAGCGCCACCTATAGCACATCAAAATTGAAAAGAAGCCGAGAAAAATACTAATGAAGACTGCTGAAAATAGTAAAACAAAATTTAGCAATTTTTTGAAGCGAGCAGATCCTGAAATGACCTTAAGAACTGTGTCTGGAAGTTCTTAGTAACGGCAACACAATTATGCGACACATTCTTTTGCGACACAATTTTCTCACAGGAGCTGCGACACATTTTACTGCGACACAATATTTTTTACCGTGCTCAAATGGAACATCCATCATACTTTAGAAAATAAAGTTTCTGTCAGTCTAAGTAAAGTAAAAACAGCGTTATTTTTATTTCTGAGTGGAAGAACACACCAAAAAATCGATTCAAGAATATTGAAAAATAACCGAAAAATGTTGCATTAGACACTATAATCTCTGCAAGAATAAAATTGAGTCCAGGCAAAGTTTTTATGATTTCAGGAGCGCAAAATAGATTTCAATGAATTCTGCAAAACTAAATAGGTCTTGTCGATGACACGCAAGCTTTTGTGAATCGTGGTATGTATCATATAGACATGAAAAATATGGATACACATTAATATGAAAAAACAAATAAACATTAATAAATGTTTGATTTTTATTGCGGAAAAAGTCACCATTTATTGAATAATTTAGAGAAGAAAAAAAAAAAATCATTAAAACCACACACACCAAAGAAAAAGAATTCTCATAAAATAAAAATACGTCCACAATTATTTTTTTTAGCAAACATAAACTATTGATGGAAACGATAAATGAAATAGAATAATCTTAATAATATTTGACACTCATAATTAAAAATAAGTTAAAGTTGCTTTCCAACAATGATTAACTGATTATTAATATCCATACATGATAAATTTAAAAAATCAACATTTAAATAAAGTTGATGAGTAGCATAATCACTTTCAGATAATATTGAATGACAACCTTGAATACCTAAAATAAAGACGCAAGATTATAAAAGTAAAAATGAAATTGTGATAATTTACCTCTTTGTTTTAATGATTCAAATACAGTTTTTAATAATTTCTGACATATAATTTGTACATTGTCACATTGTGGATAAAAATAAAATTGCAAACGAGCGGGAAAACGTTCATATAACCATAGTGGACATGTAAAAGGTTCAAACATTTTCTAAAACAAAGAAGATTATTTGAAGTTACTATCATTTTTTTATGCAGCTAAACTCTATATAGTGGATCGAAAAATTGATCATCACACTATAATTTTCGTTTTTTTCTCCTCGATTTATTACAGCTCGAGTATAGCTTAAGAAAGATTTGAATAGCTAAAACGATTTCCAATCTGTTGTAGTACGTCTAACGATTGTGTTAAAATTCTCCGAGTTCTCAAATTTGATTATAAAACTCTTTGTAAACAACTTGATCGTATATAACAAATGTTTCTTAATAAAATGAGATGTCTCTGAGCCTTGCACGGTATACTTTCGTGGAACATACGCAAACAGATCCAAATGTACTTTTTATAGATTTTCTATTAACTTTTTACACACTGAGGTTCAACGGGCTATATTCAGAATATTAAGAAAGAGTCGATTGACCATGATTACTCGACTCAGCGAGATTGAAAACCTCTAGAACTATCAATTCGGCTGAATATCTCGATCCTTTCTCAATATTCTGCTATTATACATGTTTTTCGTGTGTTGTACATGCAAGAGTAAAAAGATCTTTAAATAGCCTGTAATCCGTTATATATTTGTTGGGCAAGTTTGGACAAGACCTGTGGATTAATAATTGTCTACCACACGTAATGATGATAAAAGAATGAGTAAATTCGTGGACACTCGTGGGTGATGTAGTTGTCCTGCTCCTCCATACACACAGCATACTTGGTGATTGAACGATTTAAAAATTGCAAAGTCTGCACTACATAGAGTAACTCGCTCGTATTTTGACAACAACTTAGAAGTGACCTGCTTGTAATCGAGTAATAACAACTTGGTTTTCTTCTTCTAGTTAGTTAGTTCTTGGTTTCTTTTAAATTAAATACGTTCATCATGAAAAACATATGAATATAAGAACGGTAATGCTAGTAGAAGAATTAAAAAATTTTGAATAGATTAAAATTTGAACGTAGATTTTAGGACCATTTTTCCGAATGACCGCCCACTGTGATGAGGCACTTGTCAATTGGATGCATTTCACCAAAAATATATCGTGAAAGGCTCAGAGACGCTTCATTTTATCAGAAACGTTTGCTGTATACGACCAAGTTGGTTGCAAAAAGTTTTTCAATTCAATTTTGGGACCTAGTTCTCCAAAAATCTCAGCCTCTAACTACTCGTACATCTGAACGATTGTGCTTGGGAGGTACCAAAATTCAAACGAAAGAACACAAATTCATCTTTTCTACCTAAAACAATTTCCCAGTGGAATCGAGGTAATCTCTAGAGAAGGTAGAGGTAATCTCGGAATTCTCAATTCGATCTTTCAAACGTGCCTTGCGTAAACATCTACAGTTGTAATATCAGTAATCATAAGCCATTTTCTTCTCTTTTTTTCCTTTTGTTTTATTGTTTACTTTTTTCGTCAAACTTAATTTCATGGTGTGAAGTAGTCAAAGTATTAGGCAACTTTAGTCATTACTACTGTCATTTAACATCACTGACTTAAAATAAAATTGAATTGAATTGAAAAAAGTTACAAATAGTTTTGAAGGGATCCTCATACGCACCGCATCAGACTGGAAACTGTTTTAGCTTGCCAAATTTCTCTTTAAATTTGTTTTAAGTATTAGAATCGACGAGAAAAATCGGAAACTAAGATGTATGGTCAATTTTTCGACCCATTGTATGCTCTAGAGACTTCATGCGTCTAATCTCGTACCTGTATCTGATCGTTGTTTGCGTTTGTTATTGATGTTGTTGCTGTTGTTGTTGTTGCACTATTGTCATTTTGATGCGAAGTATATTTTTGCATCATTTGTGGTATATATGTGTGCTGTAAATGTTTATCAAATAAATGACTGTCGAGAGTTGTTACACAAAATCCACATATTGAATCATTTTGATCTTCTATTACAAAACAACAACCACGATCTAACATTAAATAACCGCCAATATATCTAAAAGATAGTACTCAACTTCAATATATACATAAGAGACAAAAAAAATAGAAACTGACTTATCGGCAATAATATCGGGATATTGAGATAGAAGATCACTGTAACTATGATTAAAAGATGATTGAGTACATATATCATATAACATTGGCTAAAAATAAATGAATGAAAATGAGTATGATCTTAAAATCAAGAATGTTTCAACATACATCATCAGTTGATAACACCGGGCGAATTGTATAAATACTCAAAAATTTTTGTTCACGTAGTATATTCTGATACGGTCCAATTGGTAAAACATTCTAAAATCGACAATATAACTTTTTTCAATGTAAATGAGAACATTGAATGTCTATTGTTAACAAAAAATTATTTATCCCACTGCCAAATAAGCAAAAAGAAAAGTACTTGCGTTTTTAACTGTTCAAAACGCACACTTCTTGAATAAAAACAAATGTTAAAATAGACAGCTTTAAAACTAAATAAATAATTTTTGTCTATTTAATAAAAAAGTTTTTCTATTTGTTTTTGTTTTTTTGTTTTGTTAACTATCAAAAATTCTCAATAAGCTAATTGTTTTTATACGTACCAAGAATTCTGCACTTAATCCACCACGATGTACCCATGGCTCTTGATCACCGGACATAAATACGGACGTTGTTTTTTGATTGTCATCTAAGAGCGAAAAATATTCTTCTAACATAACATCAACACAATGTTATGTTCTCACCCATCCATTTCAAATATTGTGAACATAGTGAAATTGTTGAATTTATATCTGATGCATAACTGTATAATTCATAAAGTAATGAACGATTTTGAATTGTTGTTAAACGTTGAACCATTTTTCCTATTGATTTTCGTATATTATGAAATTTTAATGAACGATCTCGCCATTCTTCAATCTATAAACAAAAGTAGACTATATTATACACAGACTTTCCAGATGGTCCGCACTTTGCGGACAAATTCAGCATTTTGGAGTTTTTTCGCAATTTGTCCGCTGTCCGTTATTTGTCCGCATTTTGAGAATTGTCTGCTTTTGCTGTTTTTCCCCTGTTTACATATAATATTTAAAAAAAGAATGTCTGTCTATTGAGGATTCTCTTTCTCATCCTATTGTCAAACCAACACCATCTCCAAACATGCACCAATTAGTTTCGTTTATATTTTCGATTTCGTGCAGTAATTCATACGTCGAAAGTGCATTTTCTTCCATGAAACATTTATTTAGCGATAAAAGAAATCGTATGTCGACAGAAATGATTGCAACTGAGTTAAAAATTCGCTTAAACTCATCGTTATTATGCACTGAAATTTATAATTATTTCTTATCAACGCCAGATCTGCTTAAACTTATTCATTCTAATCAAAAATATACAGTCAAAAAACCACGTGTCAACTAAAATCAGGACTTACATTTCTGTTTGTTTTTCTCTTGTGTTTTATTGAATAAAACCATAAAATGCTAGAGAAAACATTTTTTTGACTCTGTGCCGGCAGAGTTGCCAGCTCAGGCGCCACAATCAATGCCAGTACGGCGGAAAATCGCGTCGATTATGGCACCCCAGCTGGCAACTCTGTGATTGTGCTTGAAAACGGATGAAGTTAGACCATGAAAATGTGTTTCCAGTTTTTGTCCGCATTCTGAGAAAAATTTTCCGCAAGTTTCCGCATTTTTGGATTTTTATTCCGCATTTCTGACCTGAGGATCTAGGAACTCTGATTATACATTCAAAAACGACATATCATCATTCAATATTTACCTGTGCCATATTTCGTCTTGTATTTGTTTGTTGTTGTTGTTGTTTATTTGTTTTTAACCAATGAAATTCTTGTAATAATTGTATACCTATTTGTCCATGTTCATATGGTAAATAAAATAGTTCAACTAATAATCTTAAATCATCAATTGTTAGAGAATCATTGATTATTGATGCTGATATTTCACATTCCATTTGATCTTGAGTCGACTGTTTTAATGGTTTTGACATTGTTGGTTGACTACCATCTTGTGAATCATCTTCACTATTAACAAGCGCTGGTTTTGGACTCATTTGTGGAGTAGAAATAGTTGATGATAATGTTTCCATTGGTTCGCATAACAAATGATTTTTACTAGAGCCTAAAAAAGATTTTAATTTTTTTTTTTAGTGTATTGAACACAAAAAAAAGAATTGTACTACCTTCAGCATTTTTTGTACGATTAAATTCTGGTAACCATGCTACAATTGCTCGTTCTAAAGCTCGAAATGGTTCGTATGTTGCCGGCTCTTGATCATTAATATTGTCTTCTTCTACTTCTTCTTCATTATCTTTTGTTGTTGGTTTTTGATAGAAAGAATACCATTGTCCCAATGTATGAAATGGAATAAAATTACATTCAAATTCACAATTTGGATTTGATATAAGACCATTAAGTGATGACATTATTTCACATGGACGACCAGAATATGGTCCGAGAAATAGACGACGTTGATCATAATCATTTGCATGAATATTATCCCAAATTATTACACGACGTTTTAATATTTTATTTACTTGTTCAATATGATCAAGATCAATACGACGAGAGACAACTTTTGGACCTAATATTAAAGAGAAAGTGAGATATTGTCGAAAAAAAATTATATTATTTACTTACCTGTCCAAAAAATATCAATATCTGGTAATAATCCATTCCCGATCGTTTGCAAATATTGTGATTTATCTAGGGTTGGTTTAGCCATTTTACTACAATATTCTATTAAATAAAACCCAAACATTAGTAGTTAAATAACAAGCGCCAATTTCACATCATTCGTCCAAAAATATGATTTCGACACTTTTTCCACTATTTTCTTGTCTTCATATCTATCAAACAGAAGAACATCAGGAACGTACGACTGTCTCATTTTGTGACGAAAAGTATGCTTATCAAGATGAGATGTGTCTAAACTCTCTAAGTCTTTTGAATATGGAGATATTACGAAGATAGTCAACACTACTCTTAAAAAATTTTCTTTTTGTTTTGAACAACGTATGTCGTCATTTTGCTAAGATATCTCCACTGTCAACAGTCAAGGTTCCCGAAGAAAGGTCCCCAAGTGTGCAATCACTTTTTGCTTGAACTCCAGTGGACAATAGGTGATCGCCTGTGCTAAATCCGAATTTGACATCGGTTTGTGCTGCTAGACCTCGAAAGATCGGATTTCTGAAAAACCAGAACCTTTTCAGAAAGTCTAAAAAATAACCAAAACTTTTCTTAATGAGACATAATTGTAGACCGCAAATTTCGGATTAAAGTGAGATATCTCCCACCTCTACACGACCTTTCTTTGCAAAGTTATAGAATTTACAAGAAAAGCTCTAAATTCATTTCTTCTTATTTCTGTAGCTTTGAGCCGATATTGAACATTTAGGGCTTTTCTTGTAAATTCTATAACTTTGCAAAGAAAGGTCGTGTAGAGGTGGGAGATATCTCACTTTAATCCGAAATTTGCGATCTACAATCATGCCTCATTAAGAAAAGTTTTGATTATTTTTTAGACTTTCTGAAAACCTGGTTTTCCAGAAACCCGGTCTCTCAAGGCCTAGCACTACAAACCGATGTGAGATTCGGATTTAGCGCAGTCAATTATCTATTGTCCACTAGAGTTCAAGCAAAAAGCGATTGCACACTTGGGGATCTTTCCTCGTTAGAGAGCTCAGACACATCTCATCTTGATAAGCATACTTTTCATCACAAAATGAGACAGTTGTGAGTTCCTGATGTTCTTCTGTTCAACAGAAATAAAGACAAGAAAATACTCGAAAAAGTGTCGAAATCACGTTTTTGACCGAATAACATGGAATAGTCGTAAGCGTACTTACCCGTTGGACAAAAAATGAGTAGATCTGGTTTTTGTAAATAATTATAAATTTCATTTGTCACTGACACGTGAGCATGAGCAAATGATTGAAAATAATCTTTATCGATCTGACACATTTCTACTTCAATATCATCAAATAATAATGTAAAATTTTCACAGCCAAAACCAATTACCTAAACAAGGATAGAACAGATTGATGTTACTTATATGTTGTTTTGTACCTTTTGCACTGTTTCATATTTCTATGAAAGCTGTACGTCTTATTTTTTGTACACTAAAGTGCGCTCTTGAAATCAGTTCAGCCGATCATTTTTCTAATATGTTTAAAATATCGACGACTACATTCCACATTTACTTTTAAAGCTCAACTTCTTATTTGAAACATTAAAACAATATTTTAGTCCTTGCTTACCTGATCTAATTTTCGCTTCAAACAATTCATATCTTTTGTACTAGAGTAAACAATATCTAGTCCTGGTGATAATGCATAAATGAATGTAATTCCTAATCGTTTTGCTGTTTGTATTAATTGAATTAAATGATCAATTTCATCTTGAACATATAATTCACGCCATTTTGAACGATGTTTATAATCATCTTTTGGACCATAGACATAAGTATTTAAACCAAATCGAATACAACTAGATAAAAATAAAAATAAAATAAATAAATAGAAAATATGTTACATTTCTATGACTATAGAAATATCACCTACTATTCAAATAATGTTTTTCGTTGATTAGTTGTCCATGGTCGCCCATAATAGCCTAAATAAACAACAAAAATTAAATATTTTTCATTGATTTTTTGACTAACTAAATTTTTTCTACTAAACTGATGATTGCAAAATAGAATTGAAAAGTATTTACCTTCAATGACACCACATAGAAATTGATCAGTTTTCATTTGTATCTAAAATGATCAATTATGTATCACGTCTATATTCGTGTACATGAACATAAAAACATACTATAATTGTTCACAAATTTGTTTTTTTATTACAAAATTGAACGATAAATGATAAAAGTATTTCAGTTAAACAGTCCTTATAAGTGTGATAGAGATGGGAAAAGAAGATCTAACAATTAGAATCAGAACAAAAAAACAAAAACAAAATTAGCCTTAATAATTGAACAAAAACAAGTTAAGTCGGTGATTCAAATAAGACTTAAAACAAGAAGAAGAAGAAAAGAAAGAGATATGTTTCATCAGACTCTACGACTCTTGTGTATGAAAGAGAATTTCGAGATGAATGAAACAAAAAAAAAACTAATAGAAAACAGTTGTCGACGAATATCCAATGTCACATTTGTTTTGTATAAATGGATTCATAGATGCACGAGATTCTAATTTCTATAATTGTGTGTACAGATTGTCTGATTTAACTTCATCATGTGTTTCAAATCTTCAGCAATTATGAATAATTTTAACTTTAATATTAAAACGTCGGTATCATGGTGAGATATTAACCAGATGTATGATGAAAATGGCTTAAAATGGTACGATTTAGTTTTCATTTGATAAACTACTAGATCTATGTGAGTACCATCGAAGCAAAATATTTTTTGTACAAAATGATGCTATAATTGAAAAAACAAAATTAGACTAAAACATCATTCTATAATGATCTAAACCCTTTTGAATACTGTTAAAAAATATCTCCTGCAAAGATTGCTCAAGTCTCTCTATTAATCTGATTTGAAATAAAAAAAATACTCTTACCTAAATACACTAATTTCGGCTGTTAAATAAGGTTGGATACTTATTATACGGATATTCCTTCTATGAAATATATTAACTCATCGTCATCGACTAAAGTCATTCAAATGACCGAAAATAAATGTTTGTCGTTCTTATACACTGAATTTTGTATTATAAAGTCTAAATTGAGTAGATGATCAACACCAATAAGTAAAACATACTTATATAAATTTTCTATTGACCAACAATAAGAATATATTCAACGTAATATCATCATAAATTTATCTTAAAAAATGCATAAATGGTACGTGTATACAAAAAAAAGGAAAGGTGCAATACATAAATTGTAATAATAATAATAACCTTAGTCTTATCAATTTGAATAGTGTCTTTTTTGTGTTGTTCATAATAAGAGATTGTTGCTTTTCAATTATAAGGGTATTTGGTTGATTTATTTATAATTTGTTATATTGATCGAATTTTGCTATTTTAAAGTGTACAATCAACATATTTAATTAATTCTAGTTTTAGTTCGAAACTTATCGTGGGACTGATGACGAAAATCTTGTAAAATATAAATAATATGATTGAAATTAGAGAATATTTTAACTTGAAACGATGATAATGTGTAGATAAATGGTAGTGAACAATAGTTTACACTTCAAATAGTTTTAACATTTTAATTTCAGAAACAATATAGTGTTATCTAAAATAGAAGAGAAAAAGAATATCACGGTTAAAACTTCAAGATATTTTTCATAAAAAAGTTTTATAAATTTAAGTTACTTGTTGTTTATAGCAGTCAAAAAACAATTGTTTGTAATTTCGTATCCAGTAATAGAAGAACAGAGATGATGACATAAATGAAACGTTCATAATCGACTACCAGGACACAGTGGGCATATAGGCGATATAATACTCTGTACTGATGTAACTTTATAGCAACACTATCTTTCAATACAATCAAAGGAAGGCAAATAGGCTCGCAATGTTTATTCTCAACTAATTTGATTTTTTCTTGTGTACAATGTAAGGGAATAGTGTCTGAAACATATTCCACCATTTAGTTTGTCAAAATTTTGATAGAAGATGTTAGACATCTGTAACCCGACTCGAATCCGATCCAGGTCGAGATGGGGTTAAGATGCTGTCGAATCAGATCGGGTTCGGATTGAACCTTTTGCGGCGCAATTTAATATCCGATTTCGTTCGTTCATACGTCATTCGATAGAGTATATTGAGATAAGAGAAAACCTAAAAGAGTTCGGAGCCATGGCTCTTTAAGACCCGGTTTTCTAACAAACCAGTTTTTCAGACACTCTAAAAAATAACCAACACCTTTCTTAATGAGTCACAACTGTAACCCGCACATTTCGGATTAAAGTGAGATATGTCCCAGCTCTACACGACCTTTTTTTGCAAAGTTATACAATTTACAAGAAAAGCCCTACATGTTCGATGTCCGCTCAAAGAATGAATTCTTTTCTTGTAAATTCCATAACTAACAAAGAAGGGTCATCTAGAGCTGGCAGATGTCTCATTTTAATCAGAAATTTCCGGTCTACAATCATGGCATTAAGAAAAGCTTTGGTTTAAGAGAAGTTTCTGAAAAACTGCTTATCTAGAAAACCGGGTCGTAAAGAGCCATGGGTCAGAACTCTTTTAGGCTTTCTCTTATTTCAATATACTCTATCGGATGACGTATGAACAAACGAAATCAGTTCACCGAAAACGTTCCCTCGTGAGGAATTTTTCAGTAGATTAAACAACAATATGCACCAAAAAACGTTATCTTTAACAAGATAAGTCCATATTTTTTCTCAAAAACAATTTTCTGGTGGGATTGTTTTTATCGGATCGGATAGGGTTCGGATTACGTTTTCTTTACTCGTGCAGATCTCTCTAACTTTTTTTTCTCATATTGTTGTCAAACAACAAGGACCAGAAGCAATTGAGTATACTCATGGCGAGGAAAAAACGTTTATCTATGAGATGTTTAATTTTTAATGTAATTTGCTCTTTTCTCGTTTTTGTGACTTTATTTCTACTATGATCATAGCAATGCGTTCGAAATACTTTGAAAGCGGTTTAAAATATGCTGTTTCAGAATATATCCTCAAATTTACGTTCAATGGTCAACATTTTTTCGAATAAGCAACAAAATCCAATGTCGTTTTCGTTCCATTATGATCCAATGTAAGCTCAAAACGATACGAAAGTAATACCAATTTTAAATGCTCTATCGAACAATTATAATTTCATAAACTTTTTGTTTACAAATTATAAATTATCATTAAAAAAGTGGATGAAAATTACTCTATTTCGATATATTCTCTAGTTAAACAGTAGTATTTACTCAAAATAAATATTAGTTTCTTGAATTGGTATGAAAAACTTAACAGAATCACGTTACTTTTTAGCATAAGTACACAACTCGGATCTTTAATCTCAAATTATAACGAACGGAGAAAAAAACAAACTTATCCCTAAATATTTTCTCTCTACTTTACGTGATACAATGAACTCGAACAATCTACATTAGTCTTTCTTTTTTTTGATCTAAAATGGCTCACATTAATCTTTTGTATTAAAAAATACTAAGAAAAATATTAATTTGATATTGTATTTTAAAATATAAATAACCAATAACAAAGAAACAAATAATAAAAAATAAATTAAACACATAAAAGAGAGCAAAAAAAAAGTTTTGATGAATGTTTAATCAACCAAATGCTTAATTATCTAACGATGCAAAAGTCTTGGAAAGAACAAAAATGTCGAACATTATTTCTGCATATATTTCCGATATACTGCTAGTGAGTTATTCATTTTTTCGTTGGAAAAATGAAAAGTTTGAACTTCGAAAAATGTAGAAAAGAAATTTTTTTATAACTAAGTTTGAATAAGAAAAAATTTACATATCAAATGTCATTAAAACAACTCTTGTAACTTTTGCCCTCATCAAATGTAGTTTTTTCCTGCAACAATATTACGTAATTAGAAAAACTAGAAATGTTTTTATCTCACTATTAAATGGGGGTATGATAAATTATTTTTCAATTCATTTTTTAATTAGAAATTCACAAGTTTTCTATTAGTTTTAGAAACACCGTCAATTATACTTAATTAATAATTTCCAGATACTGATCAAACTTAATCCTTTTGCTAAAATATATTTTCTAGAACAGAATTCAATTCTCTACAAAAAAAACTCACATTAGTTTTAATCTTCACTAACATTTTGACTAATTAGATTTTTGCGATATTCTCTCTTTCTACTACAAAGTGATACATTTTGCAAAAAATTTTCTTCATTTTTTGATGTTTAGACTTTTCTTTTTCCAACGCAACAGATGAATCACTCACCAGTAGCATATCGGATAAATGCAAAAATAATGTTCGACATTTTTTTCCGAAAACTTTTACATCATTGGATAAATAAATTAACGATGACTAAAAACACATATACAACTGTAAAACTACACGGGTGTTACTGGTGGGTTAATGGGAGCTGTTGAATCTTGTGATGATGCATCATCAACATGATTAGTATTATCCGTAGAAAGACTATTATTATTCATGACCATGTTCAAATAAGAAGAATGACTTCGAATAAGTAATATAGGTCCACCACCATACGTTTCATAAAGAAAATTCCAAGTTTTTTCGCTTAATTGACGACAATTTGCAGCTAAAATATAAGAAAAAAATAGAAAAAATAATTTTATAATAATTTTATCTTACTTTTGGGTAATCGGCTTACACCATTTTTCGTTATGGATATTCCATGATTTGCTATTGGTCCAGGCGGATCTATAGACAAATGTAAACAACTGATTAACTAAAGTTTATATTAAAATTTAGATTTGTATACCTGAAGTTTTTTCACATACAAAATTTTCCCAATCACGAAACCATGTTGGACTAAGTGCATATACAGCATGTAAATCCGACTCGGCATGTTTTAACTAGAAGTAAAAAACAGTGAATAGAATCCGATTAAATACACCATGATCATCACTAAATGAATGACATATTCGTGAAGAAGAATAAATTTTTCGACAGACTCTCGAAGATCTTTGAACTAATCGACTCACAGATGTTCTTAAACTTTTTTAATAATTTTAATGAAGTGTCATCAGGAGGTAGGTTGGTGATATGTATAATCTTCACAGAAGTTCTGTCATGTTTTTATCGTCATTTGACACTTTCATTCCTTCCCACAAGCAGGATCGAACATCTGTCGTTTTCTGTTCATAAAACGAATATTTTACTCATTGCACTAAAATCTGATCATCAAAATGTAAGCTCATGAAAATAAGTTGAATACACACGAACATTTTATAAATAAAAAAACATTATTTTCTCATGACACACATTTTTTCATTCATTATGTTTATAAATTTTAATTGTTTTTTCTATTTTGGTCATCATCATCATAAATAAAAATCAACTTATGATGCGTGTGAATGGGCTACTGCTGCATCATTACTGTTTGCATTTAAGACTATATCCTCTTTATTTCGCGCTGTGTTACACAATCATAACAATAAATGGCAGAGAGTTTAGATTGTCGCCATCGAAATATCTAGACAAAATTCAATCAAGAGTTTGTTCAAAACATCTTGTGTATATGAAATTTTAGTAGAACAGAGTTTGTTACTGAAAAAGAAAATGGATATAACTTTTTACTCAGAGTTTCACAATCATTTTTGCTAAAATTTTCTAGAAAATCGACTTTTTACCGCTTTTTGATTTATCCCTTCCTGATCCTAGTGAATTGTACTTGTGAGTGGGTACTTGATAATCACTTGACAAGTATTTTTAAAAAATAATACTTGATAAATGCCTGAAAACGCTTGCCAGGTACTTGATTTACTTGTTGAATCTCCTACAGGTACTTGGGATTATTTAGGCAAGTGCTTGGCAAACGACTTGACAAGAAGATAAAGTAATTCAAGTACTTGCATTTACTTGTAAAAAAGCGCAGGAATGTTGGATAAAACTTGCGGGGGTACTTGATCAAGTACGTGCATGCAAGCACATTCACTAGGAAATGCTTCTTTTTCTTTTAAGAACAAAAATATGAACAAACACCAGTTATGAACTCTTCAAGAATCTATAGAAAGACACGTGTAGGACTAATAAATCGCAAGTATTCGAGATGTTGAATATGCGTAAAAAAATATACAACTCATATCCTGTGCATCAAAGCGTCGATAAAGAAAAATTGTTGAAAAAATGTATTTCGAGAACGGAAAACAATTTTGAATCACTATAATCCATAAAGTCATCATCATTTTGGGCCAAATGTTACATGAAATATAGATAATCGAGCATGTCGATTCCAGCAGACATATGCGCAATCCAATGCAGGATATGCCCGAGTCTATGCGAGCATATGTGATGACTATATTTTTCAATTTGAGGATCCGAAAACGATTTTCTAGAATGAATGAAACAAGTTGCGTTCAACGTATGAACTGTGTCATGCGGTGGATTCTACATTAACATTGCCATATACGAACAGATCGAGTACACCCTTTCTCCTCACTGTGATATTCACGTTATCAAAAACATTAGGAGTTTTTCATCTCTAAACCTGATATTATTTAAAATGACAGATCACCATTTTTAATGTTTTGCTGGCGTTTGTGAATAGGATCGGGATCTCAGATCCAGAGCCCTGCAGGTTGCCAATATTTGGCAACCTATAACCTAACCTATAAAAAATTTCACAACCTAATCCTAACCTAACCATTGAAAAAAAAAATAGAACAACCTATAACCTAACCTAGCCTATAACTTTTGCAACCTAATCCTAACCTAACCTAACAGGTTAGGTTAGTTTAGGTTAGGTTAGGATCAACCTGCAGGGCTCTGCTCAGATCCTGTCGACTAAAAGATTTCGAAGACAAAAACTATATTTCGGATAGTGTGTATATTTTCTTTCTTCTATAAACTTGAGATAATTTGTGAATCAATGTTTTTCCATACTCTAATAATTAATATATTTTGATGTTTAACTAAAGACATGAATTTTGTATGAATTTCTACGTTTTAACTTTTGAACGATCAGCAGATCAGTATCTCCTGCTTTTATTACCATCAACGTTTCTACCTATAAACATTTTGCTATTTTCTTGTTTATTATTACACTTACTTTTAAAAATGTTGCTTTTTCATATCGTTGTCGTCGTTTTATATTTTCTTCATCTAATTGACATTTTCGACATGGATACAAAATATTGCATACGGGTCCTCCACCAAATTTTTGATACAGATACTCCCATACTGTTTCTGGTGCCGGATAGACTAAATTTTTAATAACACCCCAATAATTGGGTAATACACCACCATGTTTACATAGAAAATCATTGTTCGATATTGGACCAGGCTCAGCAAAATAAAACAAACGATTTATCCAATTCTTTGAGATATAAAATGGCAAAAGACGATTCTAAAGAGATAAACAAAACAAAATAGAATTTATTAAGTTTAATCTTATGCATAGTAATTAGTAACTGACACAGATCTAACAGATTTAATCTCGTACTGTGTGCATTCGGATCAGAGGTGCAGAATCTACCCGTAAGAATGAAGAACTTTCGTCGACAGGAAAATTTCTAGAAAATTATCTAATAGTGTCAGAATATTTTCTTCGGCAGTTATTTTTAAGTAAAAATGCTACTTTTTAAAGTTTTTCTGCGATATTTCTACGAAACTAAACATTTTTCCTCGGCGTCCATCAGAACAAATGGCTATATTCTGTATTTTCACGTTCAACTAGCATCGCTATAAAGTATTTAGATTTAATCCGAATTTATACTAAAGAAACAATCAAAGCAAAGATATTCTATAAAAGTGATTACGTTAATTGATGACCTTTAATTTAATCTTCTAATGAAATTGTAATCTCAGTACGATTTATGTCGCGAATAAAGAACCCTGAAACAGTACAGTAAGAAGAAAACTTTCGTGATTTCTAGCGGACAATGTAAAAAACAAGATTTTCTTATGATGATACTTATATGACAATCATAAAGTTCACAGTGATGAGTTTCTCAAATTATTCCAATAATCATTCTTCTTCAAACTTTGCTTAAACGATGTCTTGAATTGATGAGAATGATGATATTAGTGTAAATAGCGCAAATTTGCCGATGGTTTTCATATAAAAATCTTTTTTCCATCAAATAAAACGTATTTTCAAACAAAGAAAAATAATTGTATATTTAGAAGTAGTTCGCCAACTGTACTGTCATGAATAACACAATACATTTTTGTATGAAAAAAAAAATTTATTTTTGTATTTCTCTGTCCAATTCATGTTAAAACATATCTTTTTCGTCGATGAGGCTTTGTTATGACAAATACCAGTGAAAAATAGTTGATTCTCAAAAAATTCTAATAGCCGCCGGCTATGTTCACTGTTAAATAAGCAAGAATTATAAAACAAGTTCCAAAACGTTTCTGCATACTTGATCACTGTCGAGTAAATGTCGAATATTATCATATGTAACGGTTATATTTGATTCTTTTTTTCTAAAGGAAAAAAATATTTTAAAAAAAAAGTTAAAAAAAGTTTTTCGTTTTTTAGGTAGAGAGTATAATATTAATATCTTACCGATAGAATAGAACATAGGCATCAGCATTTTGTACTTGAGTTGCATCCACTTTTCTTACTTCACTATCATCAAATTTATACCATTCATTATTGATTGGATTTAAACTGTATGTAATGTAATGTCCACCACCAGCTCGACCATAATGAACAATACACGAAAATAGATCATATATATACACCTCATTTTTACAATCTAAAAATCATATGAACAACTGTCATAAATTATTGTAGTTTAAATTATCCTGCTGTCTATGTTTACACTGTCAGACACAAAAAATTCAAATGACTAACATCAAAAATTGTTTATCTTACGAGGAAATCTATCCAAGTGATACTTTCCGATTTCGTTCGATCGATAGAAGGTATCGATCTAGTAAAAAGCCTAAAAGAATTTTTCCCCATAACTCTTGAAGACCCGATTTTCTGGAAAACCACTCTTTCGGAAACTCTAAAAAATAACCAAAAGCTTTCTTAATGAAGCATGATTGTAGTCCGCAAATTTCTAAAACAAAGCTAACTTTTGGTTTTATCCAATATTTATTGTTTATAAAGTAAATGCTAACGAGGGAACCTAGCGAACTGTTACTGCGCTTTTTCAGTCAAACCTAGTGGATTATAGATATTCGACCACGTTGATTCCGAGTATGACCATGAGAGTTGTGCATAGGCCATCGAAGATCTATCAGAAACTTTAAAAAATAACCAAAAGCTTTCTTAATGAAGCATGATTGTAGTCCGCAAATGTCTGATTAAAATGAAACATCTGCCAACTCTACATAACCTTTCTTTGCAAAGTTATAGAATTTAAAAGAAAAGCTCTAAATTCATTTCTTCTTATTTCTGTAGCTTTGAGCTGACCACACACATTTAGGGCTTTTCTTGTAAATTGTATAATTTTTCAAAGAAAGGTCGTGTAGAGTTGGCAGATGTCTCATTTTAATCCGAAATTTGCGGTCTACAATCATGTCTCATCAAAAAAAATTTTAATTATTTTTTAGAGTTTCTCGGGTCTCCAAGAATCATGGGGAAAAATTCTTTTAGGCTTTTTATTAGATCGAACGAAATCGAAAAGTATCACTTGGATAGGTTTCCTCATTATACAATTTATCATTTACCTTTATGTAAAAATTGTTTTACATCCAAATCGACTAGTGGAAACGAGACGTAATTACTAATTTTTGTGTAGACTAGTGAATCATGTCGAAAACGTTTTAAATGAATACATAATACCTAATGAAATAAATATTCTATGTAAAAATATAGTTTATATTATTATACTAAACTTACTTCTGGAAGTTCCAGTACTTTACAGTATTTTATTCCATTTCGTAGTCTAAATGATAAAAATAATGTATTAGATTATTTATTCGTATTTTATCTAATTAATTAAATCTTACTTTCCACATTTTTCACAACTGTACATATTATCACCTGTTAGCTCATCGGCTGAGAAAAATGCTGATAAACAATCTTGTAGTGTTAGCGTAGAACCCCAAATATTATATGTCCATAGACTAAATAAAAAAATAAACTAGATACTGATTGTATTTTAGCAAACAAAAAAAAAATATATATAATAAAAATAAAAAACATGGTCATCTATCGTACTTTTTCACTATAGAATATATCCAATTGAACCACGTTGTTTGCTGTTGAGTTTTTATCAAATCAGATACATTTAAATTATTATTATTATTATCATTTTGATTTGATGATATCGATGTTAAACTTGACGATTGTTGACTATTAGATGAAGAGATTGTCGATTGTAAACGAAAATTCTATAATAATAAACTGTTGTTGACATTAGTTTCATTATCTCAAATATTAACATTCTTACTTCTAACTGTTCTTTACTAGGTATAGGTAATGATAAATCTTGAAATGTTTCAATAGTTGTTGAACGACGATAACATGTTAAACATTCAATTTGTGATAGAATACGACCATCAAATATTGATGATATAATACTTTGAAAACGAGGTTTAATATATTTTGGAGTCTGCTCTATAACAACAAAAACAAAACAAACAAACAGTGTGTATATTTATAGTAAAAATATACTATTTTAATATACTTACTTGTTTCATATTTGATATAATGTGGAAAACTATCACTATTTCCATTAATATCTTTTTCTTGTTGTACTGTTGTTGAAGATATTTTACTATTATAAATATTGTGAATTAATGGTAGTGTTGAGCACGTTGATAATGAAGACAATGATAGATTATTTTGATTTTGATGGGTCAGTGCGGTTATACTCGTATTATTGCTGCTATTATTTTGTTGATTATATCCAGTATTATTCAATGATACACCAGAATCTGTTCGACTTAATGATAAGTTTGTTTGAGCAGTACGACAAGAAGAACGATGAGAAGTGACTTTAGAATAGGGAGATGAAGATAATGTGTTTGTTTGTTTTGTAATTTCATTTAATGAGTAAGAGGATGGAGTAGGTAGAAGTGATTGAATTGGTGAAGATGGTTCATCAAGACTATCATTCGATGAAGATCGAAGAGAATCACATGTTTCATATTCAGTTGTACTTTCATCTTTTGACGAACTAAAATAAATCATAACTTTGAAATATAAATTTTTTTTGAAAGAAAATGAAGAATATACCTGACTAAATGCGATTGTAATTTTGTTTGAATTTGTTCATTATGACTATCTGTTGTACAACTACTACTGGTATCACAAATATTTTCATTATTATTCATTTGTGATCGTTGTTGATATTGTAACGTCTCAGCATCATTAACTGATATATTGGCAATATTGTGACGCATTTCTTCATGTAATTGATCCATAAAACAACGTAAAAATTCTTGAGCATCCTATAAACAATAAAATATTATCATAATAATCTGTTTGACAAAGAAAATTTGTTTTTTTTTTAAATTTACTTGTTGTGTATAAGATCGAAATGATGGATTAACATAGCGAATTTCAGCTGAAATTGATGAGGGATTAATTGCTGAATATCTTAAAAAGAACAAAGAAAAATAAAAAATAATTTTAAATAATTTTTATTTGACAAAGTGACTCACCTATCATTAATAACTTTTCTTGACCACATTTCTCGACAAAATTTTAAATAATATTTTGATAATTTACTACTAGTAGTTTTTAAATGTTGATATTGAATAAAATTTGAACAGTCGAGAAAATAGCTTGTCAATGGAATACTAAAAAAACGTATAAAGATAACACTAAATATTTTACGTTAAGTATCCATGTTTTGTATCATAAATCAAAATGTTTACACTGTTCATTTGCTTTTTGATAGTGATTTAGACAAAAAAAACAAAAATATATAATAGCACAAACAGAAATATAGTTATTGATATCTACCAGTTTGATAAGGCTTGCAATGCTGCATTCATATAACATGTATTGCCCAAATTAAATAAACCTAATACTCCTAAAAGAAATAAAATATTATGAAGAACTCAATTCGAATGAAATTATGATATTTTTATTGTTTACCTCTTGTTTGTGCATCCCATTCATTTGATTCTAGAGCTTTTGCTATAAATAATGTTGGCTCAAAACGATAAAATGTTTCATCTGTTTCATTTAAAGATGATGAAGATTTATTTAATGAATAAAATACTTGTTGATTTGATGGTGATGGTTCAACAATATTAATAACATTGTGGACAGATGATTGAATATTTACACTATTATTGAACGTTTGATGAGATTGTTGAGATTCTGTTACTTCGTGTAATGATGAGACTAACTGTTCAATTAAAAATGGTAAACTAAAAACAAAGCTAACTTTTGATTTTATCCAATATTTATTGTTTATAAAGTAAATGCTAACGAGGGAACCTGGCGAACTGTTACTCCACTTTTTCAGCCAAACCTAGTGGATTATAGATATTCGACCACGTTGATTCCGAGTATGAACATGAGAGTTGTGCATAGGCCATCGAAGATCTAGCAGAAACTTTAAAAAATAGCCAAAAGCTTTCTTAATGAAGCATGATTGTAGTCCGCAAATTTCTGATTAAAATGAGACATCTGCTAACTCTACATAACCTTTCTTTGCAAAGCTATAGAATTTACAAGAAAAGCTCTAAATTCATTTCTTCTTATTTCTGTAGCTTTGAGCTGACAATGAACATTTAGGGCTGTTCTTGTAAATTCTATAACTTTGCAAAGAAAGATCATGTAGAGCTGAGAAAGGTCTTATTTTTGTTCTCATTTTCAGCGGACTACAATCATGCTTCATTAAGAAAGCTTTTGGTTATTTTTAGAGTTTCTGAAAAACTGGTTTTCCAGAAAAACAGCTCTTCGAAAGCCTAAGGACAGCTCTCATGTTCATATTCGGAATCAGCGTGGTTCAAATACCTATAACTAGGGGTGGCGCTTTACCGTTTCTTTACAGGTAACGCAGTAACGCATGCGTTAATGCGTTACTGGTAATGAGTAACGCATGCGTTACTGCGTTACTGGTAACGAGTAACGCATGCGTTACTGCGTTACCAGTAACTACTAACGAGATGCGTTTATTTTTCATAGCTTTTGTAGCGAGTAACGCAGCGTTACTTGCGTTACTTTAACGCTTTTTTGCGTTACTTTTCTAGTAACGCACGTTAATATAGTAACGCTTTAGTCGCATTGTGTCCGGAAGGTGATAAAACAATACATTTTCGGTTGTTCGTCACTCATACGGTGATATTTGAAAGCGTTGCTTTACTCAGTAAAGTAACGCATCAGTAAAGAAAATGTGCCACCCCTACCTATAACCCACTGGATTTGGCTGAAAAAGCGTGGTAACAGTTCGCGAGGTTCCCTTGTAAGTCTATTTTTAAACAAAACTTTAATTCTTACTCAAATGGCGGATCATTTTGTTGAATAAATACTTCTTCATTACACGAATAACACCAAATGCGTCGAGTTGTTATATTCATTTGTAATGGATGAGCTTTTTCCTAAGTAATATAAAAAAAACAAATGGTTCACAGTATGGAAAAGTGAAAACATTTTCTTTACTTTTTCGTGATCTCCACTATGATCATCTTTTCCTGACCCACATCCAACATAGAGACAACCTTCTCGAAGACAGAACCACAAATGGGGACCACTTCGATCACATGTATTACAAGAATTATCCTGTAAAAACATGATATAAATTACAGTTGCAGTTTAAAGCAAAATTGTCATACAATACTTGTATTATACGATGAAAATCATTGTTTGAAATTATTCCGATAGTGGCTACATGTGGACATCGACTACTTTTCTTTGGAATCTCAGTGGGTAATTGTGAAGATGTTACAACCATATTGTTTGTTTATAAATGAAAATAGATGAAAAAAATGTACGATAAAAATGATTTTGAAACAACATTAGTAAAACAGAATATCGTAAATTATCTACAAGAAAAGATAATATTTGTGGTATCAATGAATGAATCATAGCTAGTAATAAATATTGTATACTAACAAAAAATAGTTTTACATACACAATACTCAATTACAGATAATTTTATCGCAACTGTGTAATTTAAAATAGAGAAGATTTAAACATCAGTTTCACTAATTTAAGTTATTAAAAACGGATAAAAATCTGCCTTCGTGTTTTAAGTGGAAATTTTTTGTCATGATTTTTTTAATTGACTGATGAAATATGATAGATTTATTTTAGTTTAATACGATTGTATGGAAGCAATTTGAATTGCTTGAAAAAATAGTCATTAAAATGGCCATTAGCCACAAGAACAGATAATGACTTTTTTCCAAACTGAATCTCAAACTGAAAACTCAATAATCATATTCAGAATTGTGGAAGTGAGTATAGTTCTGCTCACTGCTAAAGGCTAAGATATGTTAAGAGCAAACACTAGGAAGAAATCGTTATACATAACAGAAAAAATCACAAAATTACGCTGTTGAAACACTCTAAACCTATTTATCACAAAAAACAAGTCCCGCAAAATCTATAGTAAAGTCACAATAAAAATGTTGTTTTTTTAAACATTACATTGAACATTTTTACCATCACAGTTTTCCTGTCGCCTTATGATGTTGCATTTTTCTCGTTTCAAAACGAGCACAGTCGTATGGCATTACAAATAAAGATGTACCTTCGTTTTGATGCGCGATTTTCTCTAAATAATACGCTTTTTGCGTTTGGTCAATTGTTTCCTACATTGGAAAGTAGATGCTCAGCTTTTATCGGACTTCGTGGATATGGACCCCAGATGATGTTGTAAATAATTTTTTGTAGATATTTATATAAATGAATGGTTAGTTTTAACGAGTAAACATCCAGGGCTACAAATAGCGGAAGAATACACATCATCTGAATAATTGAAAAAGTTGTTGTTTTTTCATTCTACCTCATACAACTTTCTTTTTACCGATTAAAAAATTGCTTCTGTAGTAGTTGACTGTGAAGGCCGTGTAATAAATCAGATTTTCTTTTTATTCCATAATCTGCAGTTCACGATTTTTTTCCATGTTGGAGAAACTTTCTTAGTTTTAAATATATTGAAAAAATTGTCTTCTTGTTAGTTTTACTAAGATTTTGTTCTTTTTGCCGTTAGTTCATTATAGTATTTCATAACACAGCCAACGTTTTCGTACTGTATGCATGAAAATTCAAGACTCGACCAGCCAGTGAAACGGCCGTCACCAAGACTATCTGGAATAACTGAATAACAGAAACATACGAGAACTGCAATCTGTTCAAAAACTAGTTCCTCTTCTTTCTTTAGGTACATGGAAAAAATGAAAAATTCCATAAAAATCGATTCGATCATGATCGTTTTCAGTTCCAATGTAGTTTTTGATTATTAAAATGCGTTTGAAGAAAAACTCGCCTAGAAATGTTCTTAAATGCATATAATACAAGATTATGCGAATGAAGTTTGTATTAAACATAAAATGTGCTTTTAGTAAAAGAGGGTGAGAGAATGCGATCCTACTTATTCAAGAAAATACGTTTTTGTGCGTCATATCAGGGTGAAATGCAAAAAGTTTGAACTTGTTACATAAGAACACTAACAAAATAATCCTCTATTTTTAGAACGGTTAAATATTACATGACAAGATAACAAAAAAACGTCACATAATTTTCCGTGATGTCATATATTTTTGGTTGCGTTTTTTTACAGCTCTCTTGTTAAAATCGTACTTCTGCACCATTTCTGCATTTTATAAACCAATTAGGATGAAAGGAGACAATCTAAAATGAAAGAAATGCAGATAATTTGGTTAATATATTAAATAAATAAAAAGTGAAGCATATGAGGAAGCTACATGTTACAGTTTATGGATGAAGACATGACCAATAAACGTGCGACTTTGTACCTCTTTTGTCACAAAATTTTAAATTAAAAAATAATACACGCTACTCTCAACTTTAATTCTCAACTTAATTTAATGGATTATATCAGAGATTGTTTTATAATGCTTGTAATCTGAGCATTACTCCATAAAAAGAGCAGAGTTTGTTATCGTCTGTGATGGAGCGATTTATCTGTCTGATGAACCTAATTCTGTAGTTGATACCAGTCAAGAAGAGAGTCTTTTACTTCTGGGAATTATATAGAAAATTCTTGAAAATTCGAAGTAATTTCTTTTGGTTTTAAAAACCTTTTATTGCGGTTGAGGGTTACTCTATAATGTACTACGTTCGAAGTATTTGGATACCGGTACTTCGCTTATGTGATGAAGCCGATACTTTCCTTTTCCTGAGGTAAATTTACTTGTACACGCTTTTCTCACTAGCAAGTACTTGATTTTGCATTTGACAAGTCACTGTCAAGTAAAATTGCAAGTCCTTTCACAGTACTCAGTAGCAAAAAACCAAGTAATTTTTGGAGAAGCTCATGTAAAAGTATATGGCAAATGAGTATTTTTGAAATACTTACCAATTGTTCCATGTGATACTAAGCAATCTAGTATATTCAATAGAGATATAGTGTAGATAAAACAGTATATAATAACGCTTCACATAATAAAGAGTAAGGGAGTGAGGGTGGTGAAGATCAGAAGGAAGATTGCAGAATTTATTTTCAAAGAGAAGTCTAAGAACTTTACGGACGAAAAAGAACAATAGATTTACACTTCAAAGTTTTAAGCTATGCTCTGATTTTCTAAAGGCCCCACCATCAAACTTCCTTGGAAAATCGATACTGACGAGTTAAAATTCCATAACTTCGGAAGGAAGCTCTCCTGTATGAATAATTTTGTTATCTCTCTGCATATGTTACCTGGACCTATGAAACTTTCAAACAGTGTGAGGTGGCAAAGATTTATTCATTTAAAACCTGAAGTTAACTTAAAAAAAAAGTGCCTGTCACTTCCATCTTACAATAAATAGAAATCATTTACAAGTGTATTTTTCATAGTTCTGTTAAAATGTTATTTATGGCTTCTGCGATTATGTTATCCTCATTTCCTTGTGATCTGCCCAGGTCAACGGTCGCGACTAGCTCGCGATGCCGCGCTAGCGATCGCTATTATCTCGCGCTTGTCGCGAAGAGATCGCTATAAAGTCGCGCCGCGATCTCGATAAAATCATATTTTTTTAAAATAGTATCTTGTGAGACTCGCGGCGCGATCGCTGTACACTCACGATCTCACAATTGAATTGCAAGAAGGCAAAAGAATTCTTTTTCTCTTGTTTCAAAGTGAGAATTTATATTTTCGTATATACAAATAGATAGTCCACATTCTGTTTATAACATAAATAGTATACTATGTGTCTATAGACACGTGTGTGTTTTTGTTATTCTTATTTTAAATGAGATATGCAAAAGAAGTCAATGTCCGTTATGTACAAGACACTTCATATTTTCTTAACGTAGTGTGCAGACTATTACTCGATTTAACGAATAAAACCCGAATTTTTTTCAGTTTATATCTGTTTTTTTCACTTTTTCAAAAAATAAGTAATATACAAAGTAAGTACACAGCAATTTCAACGAACGAAAGAGCATGGAAACAAATCCTTTCTACTTTTGTTGTCACAAAGTTGAAATCGTTTTGTTTAACTATTTTGAATACCAGAACGGGGTGCTCTTTTTCACAAAATGTGTGAAATCTAGGGACTTCTACTATGTACAACTTCGTTAAATATCATAAGGTCTCAAAATAAAAATGCACTAAAGTGAGAAAACCATCAAAGGTTGATGTCATCGCAATCGTGAGTATCCTCGGTGTAAGATCGTTTTGTCGTTGGTGATTTTTCTCTGAAAGTCCAAGCGTGAATGTTTTCTTCACATACGGCAAACGTTACCTTATTGGTAAGGCTCACGTTAGAATCATAAGATATCAGCCTCTCTCACCTTTATTTTGATACTAGATTTTGAATCATAGGCAGAAAACTTCACCCGAGATGAAAATTTCTTTCACTAAAGTTATCTAAGCTCACTATCCACTTTTTTAAAAATAGAGTAAAGAAGATAGTTTACCATCGCGGCAGAAATACGCCGCAAGGATTTAAGCGAGGGACTAGACCTTCAAAATTGCTGTGTACTCACTTTGAATCCGTATAAGTTCTTCAGTAAAAATGTCTTTTACCATTTTAGATAGAAATTGTGGAGTACTGAAGGCAAAGCAGGATCGATGTAAACTTCAAAAAGTGATCGTATCATGTTCTCGAAGAAAAGTCCGAGTAAAACATGATGCAACGATAGCCAGAGAGGTAATAATATGAGAAAGTCATTCTAATTTTTTTATGAAAGAAAAACATACTTGATAACGTTTGTCGCAAAATTACTGAACTAAAGAGAAGCATAACATAAAAGTACGCATTGTGAATCCTTTTGTTGTTATAACTGGATGAAACGCCAATAGCGAATAAGCCGCGATCGCGACGCGGCAGTCGAGAGAATATTCTCTACTGCCTTCAGTAAAAAGTCGCGCTTTTTTGATCAAAAAAGATACGAGTCGCTTCACGACATCGCGAGTACCAGAGATGGGCCAGTCACCACTTTTTCGAGTCTGAGTAGAGTCCAAGTCAGTAGCCTTCGAGTCGAAGTCCGAGTCGCATCAAAAAGAGACTCGGGCCACAAAACTTCCTTCTGATTCATTTTTCCAAGAACAGGTCTTCAATCCTCTCATGTGCCACAATGTTCTACTTAGAATATTCTCAAATCTCTCCCTCTTCTAGTATATAACAAACATAATAAACGTCGTCGTCGTAACAATCCCAATTTGTACATGACTGACTCGAGTCAGTTTATCAAGTCTTTCACCTCGAGTCCGAGTCAAAGAAAAATGTGATTCGAGTCACGACTCGGACTCGCCCGTATCTGGTGAGAACAAAGTGTCGCGCCCACTAAAAGGAGAAAATGAAGCAGTCGCGTCGCGAATGTAGCGACTATATAGGAAAAATCCAGTTCCATCGCGACTTTATAGCGATCGCGAAACTGGCGAGAAATTACGCGAGTCTATAAGCGATCGCGTTACGCGTTCGCGCCGCGACTTTATCGCGATAGTCGACATGGGTGAATAATGCTCTATGTGACACTATGATAGCGTAGCGTTTGATTTTCTGTAAGTCGCATTGTTGATAGATATATTCATTCGAAATATAATGTGCATTTTCGAGTGCTACTTCAACTCCTTTATTTTTTTATTATTTGTAGTTATCCAGACTTTTTCTCCTGCTGTTAATAAAATAGATGATCCGATCGTTATTACGGGCGATACTAGTGATTTATGTAGACTGATCATTGTTTTGTTGCTGCTTTCAGATGTTAATCCAATAGATATGTTAAAGTATTATCTGTAGATTGAGATTTAGCTTCAACGATTTTAGTGTGTACTCTTCGATCTAATTTCCTGTCCAACGTCATGCCGAGATATCGAGCTGATGGTTGTGGTTTGAATAGCGTTGTTTCTACTTTTATTTGAATTTCATTTTTGTATTTTTTGCGTGTATGAGTAGTACTATGAATGAACTCGGTCTCTGTTGGTTGAATTGTTAGCTTCCATGATATGCACTATTGTTTTAACGCATCAACGGATTCTTATCAGCGTTTTGTTAATGACTATCCATCGAGCGATATCGTCGGTAAATGACTCATAGTCTGAATGATCTGGGATTGAATTCATCGAGTCCGACGTGTCGATAACTGCGATCCTTGAGACGTGCCATTTCTCAGAGTGCACGAAAGCGTTTTCTAGGTCAATTGATGCTATTCCACCTTTTAGGAACGGTATTATCTATGTAATGATGTATTGCTGTAGCTAAATTTCATACAGTCTGTAGATTAAATCCTCGGGGTCTCAACTACAACTTGTATGAAATTGATTGCTTACCCTTGTTAGTGTATGTGACATCTTTAAGTAAGACCGCTACCATGTTATCCGCTGTTTTGGATACATCTGTCTGTGCATTCTTTTCTTTGCTGATGTTCCATTGACCGTTGTGTTTGATTTCTGTTTATTTGAGTCCTACAGCTGCTTTCATCGACTGGAATAACCTATTGTTGTCGAATTCAAAAATGGTCCTGCTTTACTTAAAATATTTTACTTTAATTTTATTAATTTTTAATATTTTTTTTTATTTACTTTTTTAGATGCGTTCCTTCTACATCTAAACATATAACTGGTAAAATGTTTTCAACAGTGTAGATTGCGCTTTTCGTGACTGACTCTTAAGTTATGTATGTAATATAAAATTATGTTTGAAAAATCTTGAGCACATATTTAGTTTAAAGTGTCAAGATACATCTGAGGCGTCGATATGCCTCAACCGGAGCTCGGCAGCTGAGAGACTTTGAACTCCAGCTCAACTCAGAGTTAAACTGAACTAAGTTAACTCTCGTTTCAAGTCCAGTGCTCTTTCTTCGACTATCTTCTATTTTTTCTATACTTTAAAGTCACCTACGATTAACTTTTATTCTATAGTTCATATGAACAGCAATAAAAAAACGCGAATGGCTCAGTATGAAGTACTTATAGAACATAGTAAAGAGTACTGTTAAAATAAATAATGATTGTATTTCATCATTCGATGTAACACTCACTAAAAGAGAAATAGCTCTGCTACATATTGTGCAAGTAGTTGATCAACTTTTTGTCATTTTTATGAAAAATCCGTATTTGACGGTTTTTACTGTACGATGTTTACTTTCCCACAGAGAAAAAGCAAGCACTATGTTTGATTTAAGTGACTCTTCTTATTTTATTAAATAATGAAAGAGATAATACGACACAACAAAAGCTTTAAAATAAAAAGAACAAAACTTTCATTCCAGAAAATAAACAAAATCCAATAAATCGTCGCATTTTTCTAATTATTCGGTTTACTAAAAATAAACATAATGAAAAATATTAATGTAGTCATCTTGAATAGACATGTGCGGTAACGGTAAAAACGTGTTACCGTTACCGACGCTTCAGTAACAACTTCAAATTTTTCCCGCGGTAATTTGAAACCGGCAAAAAAATCTCAAAATTTTCCTGCGGTAAACTTCGGTAAAAGAATCCTTTACAATTACCGCTCATGTCTAATCTTGAAGTTGCAAACAAAGAATCAAAATTTTGTCTTCACACAAGCGTATAACTTACTTTGCCCATTCAACTTTTAATATCAAATGATCATAACCAAAACCTGATACACAGTCAATTGCTTTTTGTGCATCTTTCTTCTCATTAAATGTTATAAATGCAAAACCCTAGAAGAAGAATGAATTTTTAATCAATAAAATAGATATATTTGATAGTTAACTTACTTTTGATGCTGCAGTGATTTTATCTTTAGCTAAAAATACTCTGCTAACATGTCCGAATGGTTGAAATAAATCACGTAAATCTTGTTCTTGAGTTTCTTCTGGTAAATTAGTAACACGAACAGTTGCTTCATCTAGAATAAATATTGATATAGAATAATTTTAAATTCACGGTATTTTTTGGATGGGTAAGTAGATGAATATATTGTAAACTTACGTACCTTGTTTTCGCATTGAACTATCGCCTGATCGATAACTTCCACCACCTCTTGACGGGCCACCCATTCTATCTGGTCCCCGATCGGTTCGTTCTGATCCACCTCCTGCTCCTCCACGACGTGCTGATGTTGACACCCATCTACCAACAGTTTCTCCTCCACCACTTGCTGTTCCACCCGCTGCTGATGGTTGTGTATTACTTGGAGCAGGTGGTCGATCAACTGTATCACCTAAAGTAAACAAACACGTAGATCAAATTTTATGTGTAGTACAACTGTTTATTCTATTCGTATCATAGAAAAATTATTTTCATAATTAACAACAATATTTTGTACAAAAGATAGACAATAATACACAATTGTCGACTACCTACTTGATTTAACTTCTGGATTATCCATAATTGATGCTAAACTATCTTTAAACGGACATTTTGTTGTCCAATGTTCACCTTTACAGTAACGACACTGAACTTTTCTTAAAGCAGCTACGGCACCTTAAAAAGACAAAAAATTAGACAGATTATTAGTTAGAACAAGATAAAAATGATATCATAAAACTGTAAAATAAAATACAACCTGATGGGTGTAGTTTAACCTTTGTTCCCTTAAGATCTAAGCATAACTCTTGTAAAAATAGCAGGTTAAGTATAAGAAATTTAGATAACAATGCTTTCGCTCAGTTATTCTAGGTATTTAATCCTGTTCGCTTCTGCATCAATTCAAAGACGACAACATCTTATTTTCCTACTTAAGCTAAAACAAATAACAATTTACCATTTATCATTGAGATTGCCAAACTTCTCTATCCTCGAGTCAAAATAATACATATCACTCACCTTTAATCATTTCTTCTTCTTCTTGTTGTGCATCCTAGAAAACAAAAATATCCACAAAAAATATATTTAGTTTGTATAGAAAAATTATTATACGTACTTCTTTGCTACTGATAAATTGCATTGTTATATCATCGTCAACTTTTGTTGTTCCCGTGTTTATTCCTGGTGGATCATTGGCTGCGTTACCAAATTTACGCCATTTCTACAAAAGAAAGAGACCGCATTGATAAGCGCATTTCAAAAGAGTTATGATGAAACATTTACTTTTCTTTCAGCAACAATTGGTAACACGCGAATTTTTTCTATACGATAAGTTTTTGTTGTCTAAAAACAAATATAAAAAGTGTTTCTTGATTGTCTGAGAAAGATCTTCTGATTTGTGTTAAAATAAAAAATGTATCGTATAATATTTTTACATTAGACACTATGAATATATTTCAGTATCTCTGCTTACTCTAATTGTATTTCCAGTATTTTCATCGTAACGATATTCAGTTCGAAGAATTTTTCCATCTTTCTCAACTTCTTCATTTGCTGGTACTGAAAGAACAATAAAATTTTATATGTAAGATACACTAGAAGAATAACGATTAGGAAGTGAAAAGCTGAACATGATACATACATCTTTCACTTTCTACTTGATCAAACCAATCCCGACGTCCAACTGCAGTAGTTGTCATTGTTTTAGAGAAAGGTATATAGGAATCTAAAAAAAACAAACAGCAAACTCTTTAGTTCGCTGTAGTAACGACTTAATCTGGAGTAAAAATCGTTTTCAGACTATGAAACAAATTTACTCTATACTCATATAAAAATCAATTAAAAACTGAGGAAAACCGTGATTCGCTCCAAAAACATGCAAGTTCTACCACGACAATCTAAGTCATAGCATCTTTGCACATAATATAACATCATTGAATGAACGTTAACAAAAAAAATAACTAATTTATTCGACGGGTGAATTGCGTAACTCTGCTGCAGGAGTGTGAGCTCTAGACATCAATTCTTATGTAAGACCTGGACATGGATATTCTCAGCTTCTTATCTGTGGAAGTGATATGAATTGCGTCAGAACAAAAAAAAAAGATTTTTTAAAAAACCGGTTCGAACGTGGCGAGTTATTCATGATAATAGATCGGTTCTCCTATTGAGATACTGCAAACACATTTATATACAAACATCATTAGGTATGCATCAGTTACAGTTTTTTATTAGTTAACGGTACTTGTAAAACTGTTGATAATTGTAACTGCTCATAACTGTAGGCAGATATTCTAGAGTCGGTTAGTATTCTACGATTTACATACATTTTAAAAATAGAGACATTCTTAAAATATATGCAGATCATAGAAGGCTAATCATTGTAGAACATTTGCCTCCAGTTATGACAGTTAGAGTTTTACAGTTTTATTGTTAACTGTAACTAGTGCATGTCTATAAACATTGCGTCCTTATATGCTGCCACAACACCTTTTTCAACTTAGAATTTTGTTATTATAAATGGTGCATAGTATTTTGAGTATGGAAATGATGTGTATCATGATCGAATATAATTTAGTGCACCGAAATTTTAAGTTTATGATAGTGGATTCCAGACATGAGACTACGTTGTTCAAATTCTTTGGCTTAACGAAAATCTCCGCAGAAAAAGTTTTTTCTATTGTACCCGTATTGCAGAACACTGCAGAAATTTGAGTGACGTCTTGTTTTGTAGCTAAAAGTATGCTTTTCAAAATCCGCCCAGAAACTTCGTTCGCTCAATGGTGTTTGTGCCATAATTGAAATAGCAGCAATCTCGAAAAAAATGTATTTTAATGTTCGCTTTACTGCACTTTAGTTATAGGCAAATACGATTGAACGAACCGAGCTGATTTCAGTTGGTTTTTGAAAAGCATACTTTTAGCTACAAAACAAGACGTGTGTCGAATTTCTACAATGTTCTTTTGAAATGTTATAACATAAACAAAAAAGGGTAAAGACGGTAACGCACGCACACTCCAGTAGCACAGTTACGCAATTAAGCCGTCAGATTGATTATTTTCGATCATTCAATGAAGTTACAAATCAGGCTGAGAATAGTAGCCAATCAAATATTTACTGACAACCTCTACACATAATTCTCAAACATATGTTACGTATATGATTTTATTCTAGAAACAAATAACAAAACAAAACTTTTTAATATAAAATTGAACAATTCGTGTTGCTAATCCTCTAAATGGCACTACTCTCATGTATATTACAGTATTTATGGTTCCATACTTTTGGAAACGAGTCAGATAAAGGTCCAAATAATATAGAACCATTCGACAGAATTAGCAAGCAAGAAACAAAATTTGACAGAAGTAGAGCAGAGAGGCGAACATGGCTTTAAGATAGTTGAGGAGCATAAGTCAGCGGTGAATAATCGTTACACACAACATAAAAAGTCCAAAAATTGTTTGATGAATGAGACTTGCTATCAACTTTTGCTCTGATTTCGGCACGGACCGATCAGTGTTTTTAATAGAAATTTTTATCATGGTGAATTTTTTGAAAACTTAGAGTAGGATATCATTTATTCTTCATATACCCAAATCTCTCCACTTTTCAACCAAAAAATTAGATTCTTTTGAAGTTTTTTCCCTTCATGTATACAAAATTAGATTTTTCTGGCTAATTTCAATTTTTCTGTAGTCTTGTAAGGTGTTTCATAAAAGTTCTTAAATGCTCGACTTAAGTCAGGCTTAAGTGTATAAAATTAACACGTAAGTGTACAAAACGAAGACTTAAGAATTTTTTATGGAACCCCTTCGATAGTTCCTTGTGTAAAAAAGTTCTCATTAAGACAAGACTAAACTGGATGCGTTCACTCTGGTGCCAGTACAAAGAAAAATGATATCCATTGTCAAAAGAAATTTTTAAATCGCACTCCTGGAAAAGGGAGCGAAAATAAGACATTTTTTCATGTTTCGATGCATGAAATCTAAAAAACTAGCTTCCATTACATCAAAAGACCGTTAGACATAAAACAATATATATGTGAAGAAAGATGAGACTCCAAAATATATCGAAAAATATAGAAAAATATTTTAAAACGGCAGCGTGCAATTTGAAGAATTTTTAAAATCTTATCTTTTGGTTAGACTATGGAGGAATTTTGGTATATGAAGGATAAACGATATACTACTCTAAATTTATAATTTGAAGCAAAACGTTCAATAGAAATCTTGTACAGAACGTTCACGACGAATGCTTTACAAGAAAGATTAAAGCTTAGTTTGAATCAGAGATCGAAATAGATGCAAAATACTAACAATATCATCTACTCTGAAATACCTGATAGAAAGAAAACGCTAAGAAAAGTAAGAAGTAAAAAGTGATCTAGTATATCACCGACATGAAAAAAAACAGTTCATTCACAATAGATGAAGAATGTATTTTCGGATTTAGCATAGTCGATAATCTAGTTGAAACTACCATTTTTAGCTCGATATATTCCCAAAAGTTTCAAAAATTTTTTAAAACAAACATTATTTTCATATGGAAACATTTTTCATGCCTTCTTTATTTCCACATCATGATGATATGTTTCTCAATTAGAAACACGATGAAAATTTTAAAGCTACAGTAGAAAGCTTAGTGGACTTTTCTGTCTCTATGGTGGTGGATAGCACAAAGAACTCTAAGAAAATCGAGTCTATACCTTTCTAAAGTTAGAAAAAATCTCAAAGCGGCACGTGTGTAAAGATGGTACTTTTTGTTGAATTGAACTAAGGTTTTTCCAACTCATAATATTGTATATTCGTATATTTTAGATTAATTTAAAAAACTTACGAAAGAAAAAATTCAATGGCTGGTGTTGCATTAGAAATTCCATCGAGTGGTTTTACATTTGACAATTGTAAAAGGTAAAAGAGGATTATGAACTCTGTAAATTTAAAAAACAGACTCTGTTGTTTATCTGTTACGAAAGGATATACGAGTACTAAAAGAAGGAGCGAAGATTTATAAGCCATGCATATTTTTCTGACAAAAACTGTCTTGATATCTTTGATTTCGAACGGTGAAAGCATCGAATGATAAAATGACGAATTATCAACACCGTTTTATTTCAAACATAGTTTGACGTTTCTTCTTCTATGAAGAAGTTAACAGTAGTTAACGAAATGTCAAACTATGTTTGAAATAAAACGGTGTTGATAATTCTTCATTTTAAAAACTATCTTTATCAATAGTACGGCTAGTTAGTTCGAAATTGAACATTGATGAAACTGATTAATAGTGTTTTCTATACAAATTTTGAAAAGAAGAGCAAGTAGCTAAAATTTTTTTCTTTATTTTTGCTCGTCAACTTTTTAAAAGTAAGTTTTTTGAGATGAATAAATCACTTTTTCCAACACAAGCGGATGATATGCTTTCTTCCAACTTGCTGATCGAATTCTTGACTGACTAATGAATACAGTTAACTGGATATATTTGTAAATTCACGTCCTTCTCGTTTTTTTTTAGAAATGAAGTGTTATTAAGCAACGGTGTATTACCTGGTAAAATAAAAAAAACTGGAACAACTATAGCTGCAATGAAATTTAAAGTATATACTCAATATTTGCATTGTTATTTATAAATCAAATGCTATTTTCTTTCTTTTGTACTAGGATGGTGTTGTTATTGCCGCTGATAGTCGTTGTACAGCAGGAAATATTATATTTGATGATAATGTATTGAAAATACATCGACTGTCCGATAATATCTAGTACGTCTTTTTGTGTTATTGTTGTTATTTTTGTCATTTAATACGGTACACGATTTTTCCTGTTCAAATATACCTACATTGTTTTTATTTATTTATTAGTGCACTTGGCGCTGGTACATCGGCGGACTGTGATTTTCAAACACGTATGCTCGAATCACAATTGGAATTATTAAAACTGAATACCGATAGACCAGTTCGTGTGGCAGCTGCTGTTAGAAAAATTCAACAACATTTATTTAGGTAAATAAAATTGTTAGAGTTTTATGTATAAAAGAAATTTAATTCTTATTTTTTTTCCATTTTCTTTTGTTCTAGATATCAAGGTTATATAGGTGCATATTTAATCATTGTCGGTGTTGATGTGACTGGTTCACACATTGCTACTGTTCATCCACATGGAAGTATTGCATTTCTTCCGTTTATTGCATCAGGTACGTGTGTACTTGTTTTGTCTTATCTGTTGTATTCTATTTTTTTCTTTCTCTTTTTCTAGGATCTGGTGGTTACACATCATTATCAGTTATTGAAGATCGTTTTAAACCAGATATGTCTGTAAGTCGTTGCATTAATATTCTATTTTCTTTGTGTTTAGTTTTTTCTCATTTATGCAACGTTAGATAGATTTCTAATAGTATTTTAGAATAAACTTTTTGCAAAGATGTTTGTTTTTATCTTCATGAAACTTTGTGTATCTAATATTTAGCTCTTAATTGCATTTACATAGATGCATTGAAAAAATGAACATAAAACTTGAAATTTATCTGATTATTACTTAAATGGAGATATTTGTAGAAAGTATAATAAATAAACTACAAAGGCGACTAAAAACAATAGAAATAGAATTGCTTCCTCTTTCATAAATTTCGTGCTTGTTTTCAATGTTTTTATTTCTTTTTGTATGTATTTAGGAAGATGATGCTAAAAAATTGATTCGTGATGCTTTATATGCGTCGACAACGACAGATTTATTTTCTGGTTCTAAAATTAATATGTATGTGCTAACAAGAGAAAAATTAGAGAAATTTTTACCTTATGAAATTGTTGGCATTCGTGGAGAAAAGTAAGATTCTTTGGATTGTTTATTTTTACTCTTTTTGACATATTAACGATCTCAATGTACAGTGAGGAATCATATCCCGATCGAGCTATATATCCCAATTGGGATATAAAATGTATCCTGATCGGAATATCTACATTTTTGTACATCCTTAATCGGGATATAGGTGCCTTACAGTAGAGCCGTAGTTTAAAACCGCTAAAAACTAATTAATGTGATACTTGTAGTGCAAAGTTGATATAAAACACAACATATCAGACGTCAGAACTTGAGTGATAAAAACTCTTCGGCATTTTTAAAACTTTAAACTTTTGAACGCAATTTATGCATCCCAAGACTTTTTTTGTAAACACATCGTGAATTGTCGTCGCTGCGCGGACGACGAATCACGATGGACGAGCGTGACTTTAATTGAATATTTCACTGGATGTAGAGTAAGAGAAAATGTTGAGAGTAAGAGAAAATATCAAGATATTTTGAGAAAGTGTTAAAAATAGCAGTAAAATATCGTGATCGGGATATGGAATATGCACCTCGAGAATTATTTAAAAAAAGGTTGCTGAATGGAAAAAGACTTGGTCACAAGGATAGAAGAATCTGATACAGTTTTTTGCGCTCTTTTCGGTAGTATGGTCAAAACTTTACGCTAATATCATCATTTTTTCGCTAATAAGTTTTATTGTAAAAAATCGAATTTATATCCCGATCGGGATATATTTTAATTCAAAACGGGATATAGAGCATGAAACTCTACGGATGTATAGGATGTGTATTCTTTTCCAAAACGCTGAAAGATGGTATTCACACATGTATTCTTGTCTATAATTCCTTTTAACGGCAATGATATTTATATTCCTTACAGCCCAAAATAAAAATTTTTCTGTTCTTTTCTATTTTAGACAAGTTGATTACACAATTCCCAAGGGTACAACGCCTATATTAAGTCAGAATGTTCGAAAAATTGAGTTCGATATTGTTAATGAAAAGGTAAAATCGGTCTCATCTGCTGAAGCTATGGAATTAGCTTAATTTTTATCAAGAACAAAACATTAATCTTGAGAAGACAAGTGTTTTTTTTTCTAAAAGTTTTTGTTTGTACTTTATAAGTTTTGTTACCGTTATCTGATGTATTTATAAAAGATAGGCAACATGAATAAAATATGATTTTATCGGTTTATGAACGTGTACAATAGTTAAAAGTATCGTGTATTTTGAATTTAACCCTTTAAAATCCAATGTCTACTGGGATGAACATTAGTAAATATCGTAGAATTACTACGGCTAGGTGACGATGTGTCGGATCAAAAAAAAGATAATCAATAATCTATGTTCAAGTGTGAAACTATCAGATATATTTTGAGTTTTTTTCAGTTTTCATATTGATTTTCTATCGACCAATTAATCAAAATAATCTGTTTTTTGTTGATGACGCTTGTTTATGATGCTAATGACAGTTTCAGGAACAAAAATGGCGAAATAAAATAAAACTACAAATGAATAAATTCGGTTCCCTCTGTACTTTCTGTTTTGTATTCGATACAAATGATAAATGTTTTTGATTCTACGTTGCATTATGCACATTAATAATATTAAACGATCACTCTCATGGTTTCATAAAAAAATTCATTTCAGCTTGACAATGGATGCCGTTTACCATCAACAGATAGATTTCAAGACTGTTGACAACAATTTTAATTGATACAAAAATGTTTGCTCAACTTTCTCTACTCTTACTTTCTTTGTTAGATAGATGGTTGTTACCAAAGATAAAAAGAGCATGTATAAATGACGTCGTGAATAGGTCTCTAGCATTCGAATTTAAATATATATATCTCGGATATATCTCTATTGACATTTGCTTCACATTTTCTTGCTCGGCGAAAAACAGATAAAAGTGAATACATCCTCCTGGCGAAAATAAGTGGTACACCTAATTTATTTAAGTTTTTCTTCATACAAAGGCAGCTAGATCTCACTCATATATCATGTGTACTGGGTACTAATATTCAGTCAAGTATCAATGTCCCAGCCATGTGCTACAATAATTTATTGAACAATATAACGAATGTGTCTAATATACCCTTGTACGACTGTAACAGAAACTTCTTGTATGGACGATTATCCTTCAGTCAGTCCTGGACTTAAAGCTATAGAATCAGTATGATACTGGATGAATCATTACGTGCAATCACATCATCCAAGAACACAGCGGTCGCTGAAAAATTTAGCGAAACAAGCATAGTAAGAAGTTTCTGTTACAGTCATACAAGGGTGTATTAGGCACATTCATATTATTGTTCAATAAATTATTGTGGCCCATGGCTGGAATATTGATACTTGACTGACTGTTGAAAGGATCTATGTTTCAATTAGGGGTGGAACAGTTCCAATTCCTAAGAACTGGTTACCAGTTCAGTTCTTGTTGAACGCAAACTGGTACCAGTTCTTTTCAAAAGAACGGAAACTGGTTACTAGTTCTTTTCAAGAATGCAAAGTAAAATAAAATCGATATAGCTAGTTATATTGACGCATGTTAGTCAACTAAACGCACCATCTACTCTGGCGCACTAGACAAAGTCAACTGTAACTAGGTTCACCGGTTTTTTTAATTTTTAATTTTTGAAAAGAACTGGTAGCAGTCCCATTCTTTTGAAAAGAACTGATTACCAGTTTAGTTCTTGTTGAACGCGAACCGGTACCAGCTCCTGTTCAAAAAAACTGAACTGAAACTGTCCCATCCCTAGTTTCAATCATGTTTTTGTCAATTATTATATCAACAAAGCTATCATACACCACAAAAAAATTATAACTCGTTTTGTAACCGTTTTAGTGTTTCAGTTTCCGTTGTCTATGAATTAAGGGACCTCCTCTCTCAGAAATTATCTCCGACACCGTACATCCGATCTTGACGAAATTTTCAATAAATGTTCGATTTAATGAGTTACAGGAATGAAAAAGCTTTTCTGTCTCCAAGTCTTACCGCTATTCAAAATCTTAGGAAGTACTTCAGGTGTAACTCTTATATAGGGAAAACGCTGTATTGAACGCTGTATGAAATACTGAATTTTAGGACTTTTAGGAAAGTGCCTGTAACTTTTTGATGCAAGGTCATGCAGAGCTGTGCGAGGCCTTATTTTGATCAGAAGCGTTTGCTCTACAAATCTGTGTGTTCAGAAAATGTTTAATTGTATAAGTATTGAGAAAATACCTATTATTTGAAGACTCGGTTTTCGAGGCTCCTAGAAAACTTGTTCAAAATCCGCGAAAAACCACTTTTATAACCAAAAGCGATACAGATTCTGAAAGCAGACTATCTGCCTATGTGCGTATCTCAAAACCTAGTTTTCGACCGAAAATCGCCATTTCTGAGGGGGGAAGCCCTAAATCAAGACTAAAGGATTTAGAACTCTATACATTACTCTCCGGATGACCCATAAAAGTGGAACCTTATGCGTAAAACGTCCCTAATTATGGGTATTTCTAGTAACAATTCTGGCTTTTGAAATGATTTAATCTTACGACTCAAGAGCAACAAGCTACGTACGCGTGTTTCTCATCACAAACATGAAATATTCATATCTCAACCAACTAGGCCTGTGGAAGTAAATCTTTTTGAGATTTCTCTAGTCTCACCGAGTCCTACTTGTAAGGAAAATATGAGCCCAAAAGCTTTTAATCAGTTGGTTGGGTTGCCTTGTTAGGAACAAGAGTATATTATTCTCAACATTTCTAGCTTTGAGAAATGATATGTTCATATGTTTAGAAGAATGAATTGTTTTTGTTTTTCTTGGATACGTTCAAAAATTTCCAGAAAGAAAAACGAAACGAATATTAAATACAATGCCACAACAAATAATCAGAGTACAAACGAACTAATAAAAGAATATGTAAAAGTGGAAAATATAAATATTAATCTTGAAACATTTACTATATTATGGCTTGATGTAAATGTAAATAAAACCGAAGATAATTTAACAACACAATTAAAATTACGGAAAACAATTAATTTTCTTAAAACATTTGATAATCTTGATCAATGTGAACAATAGATTTGTACAATTATTGATGAAAAAATTATTTTGATTGTTTCGGGTGATGTGGGTCAAATAATTCTACCACGTATACACAATTTAGTACAATTCAGTGCTGTTTACGTCTATTGTATGAATAAAGAAAAAAATGAATAATGGGCAAATAAATATGAAAAAGTAAATAATATTTTATAAAATGTAATGATGAAAAAACAAAATGGTTTATTGAATTGTTATACTCTCTATATTTAGATAAAAGGAATAATTGTTCACAGAGAAGAATTAATTGGAAAAGTATCAATTGATCAAGTTAAACGGGCAATAACCGAAGATACAACACCAATGTCTATTTATAATCATGCCGATCAAACATACACAAATCTTCAATCAGATAATAGTCGTTTTATGTGGTTTCAATTATATATTGAAATTTTACTTCATATACAACATACAATAACAATAAAAGATGAACTAGTTAATATTTGTAAAGAAACTTATAAAGATAATCGAACAGAATTAAATATAATCATTGAATTTGAACATCAATATGTACCATCCGATGCCATAAAATGGTATACAAGAGAATGTTGTTTATATAAATTACTTAATAACGGATTAAGTGTAAGAAATATTGATATGTTATTTGCATTTTGTTTTTTAATTAAAGATATTTATAAACAATTAGAAACTATATACGAAAACAGTCTTTATCATATAGATCACAGATTATTCGAGTTTATCGTGGACAAGCAATATCAACAGATGAATTAAATCGAATAAAATCAACTATTGGACAATTTATTTCAATGAATAGTTTTTTATCTACAAGTCGTAATCAAGAAGAAGCATTATTTTTTACTCGTTCAATTACTATAAGTGAAACTATACAACGGATTTTATTTGAAATTGATGCTGATACAAGTTTTATTGCTAAACCGTTTGATGATATAGTCAATTTAAGCTATATTCGTCAAGAAGAAGAGGTCCTTTTCATGTTGGATTCAATATTTCGAATCAAAAATATCATTTATGATGAGAATAAAAGTATATGGATAATATCATTGGTTTTGTGTAGTGACAATGATCAAGATTTAAAAGATATATTTGCTTATATGAAACAAGAGATGGGAGAAGAAACTAGTCTAGTCTCATTAGAAAATCTTCCACGGAAAATGGGAGAATTTGAAAAAGCAGAAAACTATTTTAATCGTCTATTAAAAGAATTGCTAATGGATGATCAAAATATTTCATCCTATTATACTAGTCTAGATCTCGTAGCTAAAGAAAAATGGTGAATACAACTTGGCATTTTTACATCTTCGAAATGCATTGAATATTATGTCTGAATCGTTTCCACAAAATGATTTAAGTCTTGCAAATAATTTTAATAATATTGATGCTGTTTATGAGGTTAAACGACAATATGAACCAGCATTAAAGAACTATCATAAAGCTTTCAAAATATATCGCAATTCACTAGGACCAGATGATCTTCAGTTAGCAAAATGTTATAATAACATTGGTAACATTGCACAAAAAAAAGAAATACATCAGTATGATATGCCTATAGCTTATTTTACTAAAGCTTTAGAAATTGCTAAAAAAAATTTGCCTGATGAACATTTTGATTTAGCAACACACTATCATAATATCGGTCTTGCTTATTATGACACTAAAAAAGTCTTTGCCAGTTAATCATATCTCTACGGGTCATACGTATCGAAGTATAGGCTTAGTATACGAATCTAAAACGAACTATGAATCGGCTTTCAAAGCCGATTCATAACAAAGCCGGGCTTTGTTAAATTACCAAAAAAGCATCTGATATATTACATGCTTCAGTGTGGCCAAAACATCCTGACATCACTAATATAGTTAACGCAATTCAACGAATAACAAATAAAATACAAAAGTAGACGATTTAAAAGATATTTAAGTCCATAAAAACAGAAGAATAGATATGATTATAACTGATATACTAACAATTACTGGTCAATCAGTTGGTGAGCGATGAAAACGTACCATGTGTATTGTGTTAACATACACTTCTTATTTTTGCTTGAATTTTTCGAATATGTGATAAGATCTTGTATGATCATACAAGAAGCGACAAGATCTTATAATATTTCATAAGATCATATAAGAAGTAAGCAGATTCTATAGGATCATGTGTCTGATCTTGTCCAATATATTTGATCCAGATCTTTTTTTGAAAAACCATCCGTTTCTTTTCATAATATTTTCTAGCATAAGAAGAACTTTTACGTCCTTAAGACCGTTTCTCTATATCGTTGCAAAACTTATGTGGTAAAAATGAGTCATAGCAGAGGTGGGCGGAATGAAGCTTTTTGCTGTAGAGGGGTTATTGTTAGTGGGCCGATTACCGTTGTTATGCGGACTTCACCTTAAACAATAAGATTAAAGTTCTTGGTGGAGAGGGAAAGAGACAGTGCATATATAAATAAAATATTCTGAACAAAAAGAAACTTTCTTTTAAAGACATTCTTGTCTGTAAAAATGTCTCAAATTAGCGGTTTTATTCACAATTGAGTGGGCTACATTTTAAAAAAAAGTCGGACTCTCCAGCCCATAATTTGAAATTTTTATTTAAATGTAAAATCTGGACAGTTACTAATTTCCCCACCTAGGATAAAAGCGGTTTTCTAAAGGTTTTTCAAAATTCCACATACAAAATTTATATTTTAAATCCTTTTTCAGCACTTTAAAAGCATGTGATGAAATTTTAAGATATGGTTATCGATAGAGTTTGAAGAGCTGAACAAAATCCAATGGTTTTTGAATGTCTAAAAGAGGATTTCGAACAGATTTTAAACCGTTTTCGAGAAAACTTCAGACAAACTTTAGCTTCCTTTTCACCATTATCGATACTTCCGATATTTTGTCTAGCTTTTATTGCATGTGATACATGAAAACGACTTTATCTTGATCTTCAAAGATTTTCTATGATTTTTTCATACGTCTTTGACGTTTTACTACAATACAGTAGTTTTTTTTCATTCTGTAATGTGCTATTTCATAGTTATACACACTTTTTCTTCTTATCAGAGCGTCTGACAGTATCTAGATAAATCGATTTGTTCTTTTGTTTCCCTGTCATGTAGTGTTGCTTTCATTTGAATTTGATTCTAACTATTTACACAGCACGCAGTCTTTTTGCATAGACACGAAAGTCTGAATCCGACTGGATTTTTGAAGTTATATTAACCTTTCAGGTATTGTTGTTATTATGAATATACACGCGTTCAGCAGGCAACAAATAAGCTTTTTCATAAATCATACTATTTTTCACATAAAAAAATTATTATTAATTATTTATGTATTAATCTGTAACAGAGTATAGTAATGCCCAAACAATTCTTTAGTAGACAAAACAGAGTTCAAAACTGATTAGTTATTGCAGTTGAGGAGTCATATCCAAGCGCCGCTATCATAATCCGTTTTTCGATAGAAGCGGTTAAAGTTAATCAC